CCGGAAGAAACAGAATGAGGAACTGGCAAAATACAAAATCATGGAACAGCATGCCAAAGAAGACAAAGAAAAAGCTGATCGTGCAGAGAAAAGATCCATCAAGCTGCAGGACGAGATCGAGGCGCTCCGCGCTGAAACCCATCAGCTTTCCCAAGAGATGCGCCGTGTTGCGGAACTCGCCGACAAAGCTTGGAAAGAGTCTGAAAGCTATGCTCAAGTTTTAGGGACTTTGGAAGGAAAGCGTATTGAGGCAAAGAGTCTGCAGTCGACAATTGACAACCTCAAAAGACACCTTGTTGAGCTTGAGGATCCGGATGAGTGGTTGCAATCGAATCTAGAGCAGTTTGAGTCCAAGCAACTTCAATACCAGCAGCAAGAGGAAGCTCAAAAGGAGAATTACATGGAGATCAAGGACCGGATTGAGCAAGCCCGTCAGAAGTTGGGCGTCAAACAAGCCGAATACGGAAAATATGAAAATGACAAAGCCAACTTTGAGCGCCAGGTAGAAAGAAGACAGAGAATGACAAGGGAGATTGCTCGCAGTCATAACATCCGAGGCTTTGATAATATCCAAGATCAATCCGATATTGACGACTTCATGCGGAAGATTCGGAAGTTGTTGAAGGAGCAAAACCAAGCGCTGGAGCGCGTTAAACGTGAGGCGCAAACTGAGCTACGCGACGTACAGTCTACTCTAAATGAGATTGGGCAGCGAAAGTCTGCGTTGCAGGAAAGTAAGAATGCGGCCAAGCGTCAAATTGCTGCAAATGACAAGGAGGCCTCCAATTATCAAGCGAAGCTCAACGAGATTGACGTCGACGAGGGCGTCCAAGCTGCGCTTGAAGCAAACATTGAGGACATCTCAATTCGTCTGAAGGACGCCAAAGATCATGCTCGATCGGCTTCACTGGACCAAGAAATCCAGGACGTGAACTCAGAACTCCACACCCTCGAGGATGAAGGCACCCGCCTCAATGCTGAACTGATCGAGGCCACAAAACGAGCCGGGGATTTTGCCCGGTTAGATCATCTCAAGAAGGAACTCAAAGAACGAGAACGCAGCTTGGAAACTATGAAAGCTGCCCATGGCGAACGTCTTGCAAAGTACATTGGTGCAAACTGGGGCCCAGCCACTTTAGAGCAAGAGTTTCAGCGTGTCCTTGAAGAGGAGACCAGAAACGTCTCTAATGCCGAAAGCCAACGTGACGGCGTCAACAGGGAGCTGGAGCAGGTCGAATTCAAGCTCAAGACCGCCAAGAAGTCTCTGGCTCAGCGACAGAAAGAGCTCAATAGCTGCGCCAAAGAAATTCGCGAAGCCATCAATGAGGAACCCGAAGAGTATCCCGATGCACTCAAACAACGACAAGCACAACTCGATGTCGCTAGAAGGGACGCCGAGCAAAGCGCCGGACTCGGCGACTACTTTATGCGCTGTCTGGAGACAGCCAAGCAGGTGAAAGCCTGTAGACTGTGCCAACGAGCGTTCAGGGCCGACGCAGAATTCACTGTTTTCCAGAAACGACTAGAGGGCTTGGTGAAGAAAGCACAGATTGGTGTGGAGGAAGAAGATGTTGAAAGATTTGAAGCCGAACTTGACGCGGCTCGTGCAGTAAGTACAGCTTACGATACGTGGATTCGCCTCTCCAAAACCGAGATTCCGGATCTAGAGAAGGAAGAAGACCAATATGTCCATCAACGGGACGAGCTCCTGGACCAACTGGAGAATCATGACAAGACTGTCAGCGAGAAGGTTGAAAAGAAGCGAGACGTTGAGGCTTTGTCGAAAACTGTCAATACTATCGTGCGATACGAGAGCGAAATCAAGACCATCCGGTCCCAGATACAGGATCTGTCCGCCAATGTACACAACACTCCTACACGTACCCTGGAAGATTTACAAGAGGAGATTGCAGGCATTGGCGAGAAGACTAGAGCTCTGAAAAAGACCCTGACCAAGCTCACAAATGATAGAGAGCAGGCACGGACTGAGATGAATAACTTGGAGTTGCAGCTTCGAGATGCTAGAAGCAAGCTTGACAATGCGAAGTTCCAACTAGAGAGAAAGTCAGACTTGCTTGCTCGCATTGAGGAGTATAGGAACCTTAACAACCAGCAACGGGAGGCAATCGCAAAGGCTGACAGAGACATTGAGGAGCTGACACCGGAGCTCCTCAAATACCAAGCTCAATACGACGATATTAGCCAGCGGGTCGAAGGCCGAGAGAGGGAGATGCAGCAAGGAATTTCTCAACTGTCTGAAAATATACGCCAATTGGATCTGGCAACGGAGGAGATTGATTCTTACAACGAACGAGGCGGGCCGAGTCAGTTGGAGCGTAGTAGACGCGAGCTTCAAACGATTGAGATTGAAATCAGCCAGCTTGAAGCGGAACAGGCCAATATTACCAAGGAGATCAACAAAATCTCGGCACAGCTTAAAGACAGCGAGAACACAAAACGCCAATACTCCGACAACCTGACATACCGACAAGCAACTCGAGCACTGGCGGAGGTGTCTGCAGAAATTGAGGTTTTAGAAGCTCAGAACGCAGAGGTGGACCGAAGCCGTTTCAGGGAGGAATCAGAGCGCCGAACCCGCGAACACAACGCGCTTGCTGCCAAGCAAGCCAGCAAGATGGGGGAAATGAAGTCTAAAGATGACCAGTTGATGCAGCTTCTCGCGGATTGGAACACGGACTACAAAGACGCCGCTTCCAAGTATAAAGAAGCGCACATCAAGGTGGAGACTACCAAGGCGGCTGTTGATGATTTGGCTCGGTACGGAGGTGCTTTGGACAAAGCCATCATGAAGTACCACTCGTTGAAGATGGAGGAGATCAATGCAATCATAGGAGAGCTCTGGCAAAAGACATACAGAGGCACCGACGTTGACACGATCCTCATCCGCTCCGACAACGAAAATGCAAAAGGAAACCGATCCTACAACTACCGCGTCTGCATGGTCAAATCGGGTGCAGAGATGGACATGCGAGGACGCTGCAGTGCAGGACAGAAAGTGCTTGCGAGTATAATTATTCGCTTGGCCCTGGCAGAGTGTTTCGGTGTCAACTGCGGCCTGATCGCACTCGATGAACCGACAACCAACCTCGACCGAGACAACATCCGCTCTCTTGCTGAGTCCCTGCACGACATCATTCGGGCGCGCCAGCAGCAGGCAAACTTTCAACTTATTGTGATTACTCACGATGAGGAGTTCCTTCGGCACATGCAATGCGGTGACTTTAGTGATTACTATTACCGGGTCTCCCGCAATGAGAAACAGAAGTCAATCATCGAGAGACAGTCCATTGCAGAGGTGAGTTATGATTATCTGCATTGCCAGCATGGTCGCTTTATATACTAATGAGCTTTAGGTCATGTAATCTACTGTCAAAACTCGTACGATGCTTGCTTCCACGCTACATAGCGACTCCGACTTCATGGTAGAGCAGGGAAGATGACCAGCGCATGGACCAGGTGGCATGCATTGATAATTGTCTGCTTTCATTGTATATTATTAGCTGAACAAGTGGTCCTGGGTTACATATCGCATTTGCACGGCGTTGGGGAAGGGGAAATAGTCCTAAGCAATCGATTTTTTATTGATGTCCTTATTTTCAACGTCCTCTTCCAGCTTCGACCAAACATACCGCCAACTTCTACCTAATCCATTTCTAGATCAACATCATCTTCGTCTAGTAATGGTACAAAACGAAAGTCCACGAAAGTCACAGTGCCCCCAGTACCTGCTCCCGAAGACCGCATGCCACCAGGTGCGCCACCATGTCCATTGTTGTCGAACTCAATCATGAACTGAAGACTGAGAACGCCTTGTCTATCCCCTCGGATACTCACTTTATTGGCTACTGCCATAGCACGAGCTGCCTTTTGAATCATAGAGAAACGATAATTCTGGTTGATGCGAGTGCCCATGGAAGACGGTGGGCTGACAAGAAAGGTTTCGGTGACGGTAGGTGCGAGTTTGGCCCTCTTTGCCCGGGCTCGCGAGCCATCATCGGTGAGTACCTTATGGGTTTGAGACGGGCCATTGTTTTGGTTTTGCTGTTCAATCGAGAATTCAACCGTCGATTCGCTGAGGGGACCACCGGAGCCTGACAAGGCGAAAAATGGCTCTCGTATCGCCGAGGCCGAGAGTTTAAGGACAGTCGGATTGGTTGCGCCGAGCTCCGTGATGGCGTTGTGTAGCCAGGCGGAACGCATGATAATCTTCATTACTATGCCGTCGCGCTGGAAGGGGATGTCTGTGTCGGTGTCTTCGGGTTCGTAGGTAGTCAGATCGCAGGTCGTTTTGACTCCTGTTTCGGAGAGGGTGATGCTCAGCGGAGCGCCTTCCTGCGTGTACTGTATTGTGCAGGAACGGTCGAGGAGGAGTGCAGGGGATGTGAATGCGCTTGATGCTGAAGGATTGGGCGGTTGGACGCTGACTGCTCTGCTGAAGCTTCCAGACGGCGCATCATTAATGCCAAAGATTTTCAGCGTTTCCAAGAGGGCAGACAGTGAGACCACGAAACATGGGTAGTATGCGGTGTCTGCGGTGTCGTCAAGGTTGTCTGCGTCGTTGGCCTCATTGCTTGGGGTCTTCGGGGGGTTGAAGGTATAACTGGTGAAGAGTGCTTTGTCTAGAAAGGCAAGTCCTTGTATCACTCTGGTCTCCTCTGCCGAAAACCGGATCCCGTCTGGAGTAATTTGCACGGTGGCTTTTGGAACGAATCCGATGCATTGCAGCAGAGTATAGAGCTGGTGAGCGTTGCTGGAGACAGCTGAAAAGATGGGCTCGGTAGTTGCCATGGCCCTAGGACTTCTGTCTGTACAGATAGCCAGGGAAACGCGTAAAATAGTGAGCACGGAAAATTGGTTATGGAAGAGGTTGGTGGGCTTGTAAAGGCGTGTCTAGTAAAACAGCTCTCGCCCTGTTACACGTTTTTTGTCTTTCAACTTTCCGATTTACAGTACATAGAAAGATTCGGGATACGAGTCACTCAAACGTAGACACCAACGGCGCAGATCATGTATACGGCACCAAATCTGTAGAAGTGGTATATGAGCGACGGGCATGGCTCCAAATCAGAAACTGTCACAGCTTAGCTTACCCGAATGCCAATGACGCTGGAACCCCGAATGTTGCGATGCTCAAGAAGGAGCGATCTATTTAGCGAGCAATGGTGAGCTATAACCCGGTTTGACTTGGATGCGCAGAACGAGACATACTCAGACCGAATAGACCAGTAAGAACCAATGCTAAGATGCCAGTTAGTTCTGTCAATCTTGACGAAGGCCAAACCTCTTACCACTCAGCAGCAGACTGAAGCCAACGAAGAACTGGTGATCTTTCGATATCAGGGGAGAGTAAGGGCTTGAGGAGGCTGCCTCCCAGACTTCGTTCAGAGACATGAGGATAAATGAATTAGACTTCAAATTGAGCAAAGGTCAATTATCAGACAGCTTATACAGCAATTGATGTCTGTAATGGAAAAGAACAACTAGTCTACATTACTCCGCCATCGCAGAGCTTCTAGATAGAGACAACGCGTCAAGCTAAGTAACTTATGGTCGATCTGGCACAATCAATCTCGGATCAACATAGTTCCGAGCCTCTCCCCGTCTCCGCCTATAACGCGGAGATCGCAATTCGGCGCCGCTGGGGTCCAGGGTGCTGAAGAAGACAGTTTATAACAGAAATCTCGAGCGCAATATGCCGGCACTTACATCAGAGAGTGAGTCCGCGAGCAGAGTGTGTTGGTCTCTGTGGCTTTCAGACTTGATTGACCATAGATACAGGTTCCAAGCGGAAAGCTTCGGAAGATGCGGCTTCCCCGGATTCCCAGAAACAGATCAAAAAGGCGCGCACTGACTCTCTTGAAAGAGAGCCAAAGGTTTGTCTCTACTTCGAACTCATTTCTGTTGCCTTCTAACAGTGTTGGTTGTAGACCGAAGATGAGCCTCTTGGAAAGCCACCGCTGAGGATCGTTCCCTTCCCAGAAAAGGTAAGCTTCACCATTGAATGTTGATTCGACCCCGCGGCTGATGTTCATCCCCCACAAAAGCCCGCTGTCTTAGAAGAACGACGAGGTGAAATCGAGTTTCGAGTGGTCAATAATGATGGCTCGCGGGATAGTTTCGTCGTTCTCACCGGATTGAAGTGCATCTTTCAGAAGCAGCTTCCAAAGATGCCCAAGGATTATATCGCACGGCTTGTCTACGATCGTTCGCATTTGTCTATCGCCATTGTGAAGCACCCATTAGAGGTTGTAGGGTACGTGTGGGAGAAATGGCTTGGTTGGTTCTTGAAGAGCTCACCAATTGTTGTCTAGAGGCATCACCTACCGGCCGTTCAATAGCCGCAAATTCGCGGAAATCGTCTTCTGTGCCATATCTTCGGACCAGCAAGTCAAGGGTTACGGTGCGCATTTGATGTCTCACTTGAAGGTATGGCTGGGAATTAAAGCCGCAGCAGGAGTGGTAGCTAACTGTAAGAGCAGGACTATGTGAAAGCGACCTCGCCCATTATGCATTTCCTGACTTATGCGGACAACTATGCGATTGGTTATTTCAAGAAGCAGGGATTCACCAAGGAAATTACGCTCGACAAGTCTATATGGATGGGTTATATCAAGGATTACGAGGGAGGAACCATCATGCAATGTACCATGCTCCCTAAGATCCGATACTTGGAAGCAGGTCGCATGCTTCTGAAGCAAAAGGAAGCGGTGCAAGCCAAAATCAGGGCTTTCAGCCGTTCGCATATTATCCATCCTCCGCTAAGGGAATGGAAGAACGGGGCTTGCAAGATCGATCCTCTGAGTATCCCCGCCATTAAGGAATCCGGATGGTCACCGGATATGGATGAATTGGCGCGGCAACCGCGCCATGGGCCGAATTACAATCAGCTCCTGCACTTGCTCAACGACATGCAGAACCACAGTGCTGCATGGCCGTTCACTCAGCCTGTCAACCGCGATGAGGTTCCTGATTACTACGAAGTCATCAAAGAGCCAATGGACTTATCGACGATGGAAGAGAAGCATGAGAAGGACATGTACCCGACCCCGCAAGATTTTATCAAAGATGCCATGTTGATCTTTGACAATTGCCGGAAATACAACAACGAGAATACGCCATATGCGAAAAGCGCCAATAAATTGGAAAAGTTTATGTGGCAGCAGATTCGCAACATCCCGGAGTGGTCGGTAAGTGTTTCTCTTGGACGCTCCTCCTAGGGGGAAGAACAACTCATGCTGACTTTGTCATAGCATCTGGCCGATGGACACTGAGTTATTTGATGGTTGATCGAGCCTTTTCTGATCTTGAAGCGGCGGAGTTTTGGTTTGGTTGGCGTTTATTGCTTCTATTCAACGAACAAATACCCAATGGATGCATGGGGGAGCATTTTTGGCCATTTCTATCTAACACTCGATGACTGAACAAATGATATGGCAATATCACAAACATCACTTCGTACATTCCTCATTCTCTACCAGGGAAACCGCTGCTGTAAGCTTTATTCCCCAGGCACCGAGACCAAAAAGAAGCGCTGGAAAGCAGTCCAATCCGGTAAGGGAGCTTAGAATTCAGCGAACTGCTGTATTGAGACGAGATATGATCTATCACAGCATTGTGAGTTTGTCGCTGCCCTTTGCTTCTAGCCACCAGATGATTGTAACATCATAGTTCATCCCTCCCTTGCGTGTAATCTCGGCCAGCAGTGGAGAACGTGGTGAGCTGCTGATGATCGTTAGCTGGTGGGTCCTTCATTTCGGAATAACTTTGCGGCGGGCCGTTTGTTGGTTGCGGATCATGAAGATGGCAGGTCAACAAGAGATGGACAATTACTATTCTAGTATGAAAAGGTTGCTCTGCAGGTGGTCGGGGCAATTCATCGCCCTTCTTTTGCTGTTATAATCATTATTATTATAATAATAATATCGCAACGCGTGCCCTGTTCCTGCTTGTCCTTATTGTCCATTGTCGTTCCCAGTGGGCGGCTGGAGGATTGTTACTTTAAGCCGTCTTTTCCCACTTCAGGCGGCCTCTCCAGGGGCTCCTGAGCCTGAAAGTCCTAGAATCTCGAATCTCTGTCGTTCATTGCGCCGATGCCTTAATTTGGACTAAATTATCTCCGCCCATTCGTTAATATTCTGGTTCTTTGCGATCGTTCAATCGTGAGCTGGCCATCTTATTCTTATTATTGAGACGTTGGTGGAACAGTAAACACGGGCCACTCCTATTCTTGGAACGACTCGATATCTTCCATCATTTCTGACTTTTTCGCTCTTGACCTCACGCCAATTTTCACTCGTTTGGATCATCTATTGGATTTGCCTTGTTGGTTGTCTATCGCTCTCGCGCACAATGGCGTCGCCGTCACTTTTGGACTTGGAGCCGAGGAATCGGCTCCCCACTCTGTTTGAGGTACTCAGTCGTCGCACTCTGGCTCCTGTCGATCTATTCTCTTTCTACATATACATGCGAGACCAGCAGCGCTCGGTCGATTACTTGGATTTCTGGTATGCACGAGATCTCTCCCTGAATAGTGCGGCGCATGAATCACGGGAAAGTCTGACCTCGGAGTGAAATAGGCTCGATGTATCACAACATATGTCGCTATGTCGCCATTATGTCCGCGAACTGCGTCGGTCTGTCTTAGTTGCGACGCCTGATCTTGAAAAAGCAGATAGTAAAGGCTCATCCGCCGCTTTGGATACCTTGGAACATCTCGGCGATATCCCGCTTACAGAAGCTGGTCCCTCTGGCTTGCGCCGGGGCTTTCGTGACTACGACGACAAGGACGCCGATCAAAGGCTGTCGGCCTTCCTTCGCTCTGATGGCCACACATCCCAGCATTCACCGCAGAGTAGCCTCGGGTCGCAGAACGCTGCTCGCCTTCCTTCCAATGAACAACCGCCTCGTCCAAGCTCTGGAACACAGAACGAATCGAATTCCCCTGGCCATACAGTCACGCGACACGATATTCGCGCGTCTGCAGAGAAGATTCTCTACACCTATTTACTACCCGGTGCTGAAAGAGAGATCGTTCTCCCGGAGGAAATGGTATCAACGGTAATCAATCTCATTGAGGATGACGGGAGGGATGATCCGGAAGTGTTTGACCCCGCCAAAGACTACGTCTTCCAAGCAATGGAACGCGACGCATACCCTGGGTTTTTGCAGGCAAAAGCCTTGGGTAATCTTGTGCCATTGACTGTTGTGACTCGCTTGGCTTTGGCTTTGATGAGCTTTGGCGGTGGTTTCTGGGGCGCCTTCTACGTTGTCCTTCGAGACAAGCCGCGGCATATTCGTTGCTGGGTAAGACCTCTTTTCATGTTCCTTGCACACTTTTGCTAATGACGGACCAGGTGATTTTGCCTTTCATTGTGGCTGCATATTTCATCGCGTCGTACCAGTACAAGATCGACCCGGTAATGGCATATTTGGGGTACAGTGAATACACGTTCATGAACTGGGCTCCAATCCGCGAGCCTTATGTTCGTAAGCTCCTGAATAAACGAGCCACTGCAACGTTATTCATTGCCCTACTGGTCGCTGCTGCGCTGAGCATTCTGTTCATTTTTGTTCCCGGTATTATGCTGTGATTTGGTCATTTTCAGGCTGTTAAGCATACGTCCGCGCTACCAGGCCTCACTTCGGACGCTCCTCTGATCCATTGAATAATTCTCGCGACTATGATTATGTCATGCGAGCCCAGCTGTCCTACGCGGGACCGACACCGCAGTGCGGGCTTTCTTTTCGGCCTGCCAAAGCAGCTGGTGCATAGGCTAGCCACTCGGTTGTTCTCGAAACCGACACTTTAGGATATTCTCATCCAAGTTGCGCTCCGTCGAGCCCTTCTTCAGGCTTGGAACGATTCGAGCAAAACGCGGTACATCCTTCTGGCTGATGCCGCGTCATTCGGCTCGAGGCCACGCCGTACCGATCCCTCCAGCCGCAACAGACTTTCCTTGTCGCTTCGTCTTGTGAATGTTTCCTTCTTGATTGCTTCTTCACCTCTTCATCTTCTTACAATACCCATTTCTGCCTCTTCTGCATGATGTTCAATTTCAATGACTGCCGGCGGAACTTTTTGGTGTTCAGGCATTGGTCCGCTAATCTGTTATAATAATGCAATCTTAATGGCAAATAACTTTCTCAAATGCTGATATTGCATGTCGTAAGTAGTCCTAGCATGATGGCTCTATGCGAAAGAGTAAACCATCCGGAAGAAGATACATCATGAGCTCGTAATGACCATTACAGGTCCACTGTTAACCTTGCATTTTTTTTTCATGTCCTTTAACCAGCGACAATGGCTGCTACATTAGGACTTCTTTCCCAGGATGCGCTTCGCATGTCTCGCGCCAGCCCCGCTCAACCCGAATCTAGAAGATCCCGCACTTTCATCAATGTCCATACGCGAACCAGCCGCGTGTAAATCGATACCGCCATCGTTGCCATTATCCCAGTACCCATCATCCTCGTCATCGTAGTCATCAGCGTTGAACTCGCGCTTATTGCCACCTCCCTGGCCAAACCGCTGCGCTCCCCCAAGCTTCCTGGACCCGGGCCCGCCTACCGCCGCGTCCTTTGCGCTCCCATCAGCGGAGGCCAGCGCTTTTTCAAGCAGAGCAGCTCGCGCCTGTTCTTTCGCCCTACGCTTCGCGGCATTGCTCTTAATCTTGGCGATCTCGGCTTCGATGTCGCTGATGACGTCGCCGCAGCGGCTCTCCCACTCTGTCAGGAGGGAGATCATCGTCGGGAGGGACTGGGGTTTGATGTCGCGGAGGGGCGCAACGGAGGTCACGTTTACGAAGGGGGGGTTGGAGGCGGGGGAGAGGCGGGCGGTGATGAGGGAGGAGTAGATGGCTTTTGTGACGAGGGATTCGAGATCAGCGGGGGCTGAGATGGCGAGGGCGTCCATGAGGGTCTTGTATGTGAGGGGCTTGAGTGTTGCGGAAAGCGTGAGGAGCGAGAGGAGGCGGAGCTTGAGCGCTTGTTCGGCGCTGAGGCTGGGGAGGTTGGGTGTTGCTGAGGGGGTTTGTTAGTTACCGTACGCCTAATGGTTCAGCTTGAAAGGCTGGCGGGCTTACTCTGGTAGTCCTGCCATGTTCCCCAGGCGAAGATCTCCAGGAGGGTTAGGTAGCCTTGGAACTCTGCTGGGGTGGTTGGGGAGCGGAGGGCTTGGATGGTAGGCGTTTCCAGCAGCTCGGCGAAGACGTAGGTGTGCGGGTTCGAGGTTGCATTTGTGATTAGATTCGCAATAAATCGTGGGGAGGTGGCACTGTTTGAGTTGGCCAGGTGGATGAAGGGTTGCAGGGCCTCGATGGCCCGAGTATGTATTTGATCCATTTGAGCTTGGTGGTCTGGTGCTTGAAGGTCAGCTACAGCAGCTCATTCGGCGAGACAGCCAAGCGTAAACCTACGTTTTAAGGCAAAACCGAAATGTGAGAGACTAAGAGTGGTATGCGAGACTCGGCACCGGAGCTGTCTCTGATAGAATAGTTGACTGATAACAGCGGGGATGTTGATGGTGATGATGATACCTATCCAGCTGTCATCTGAATTGGGGTTGTTTGTTTGAGATGCAAACAAGATCTGTCACTTAAGATTCGGGATGGGATTCAAGCATAACTCTGATCATAATCTCCAGATCGATACGAAGTATTCAGCACTATTCTAGGATGGTTGATCGCCGATGCTACATCCGAACTCACATTATAATAATGGCACTGCGAGTTGAAAAGTTTGGCCCTTTGCCAATCAAGCGGCTCAATTCCCTTCTGCTCAGCATTATGCAGTCTTCTGCTTATTATTGTTGCGCCTGGGAGGGTGAAAGGCCAAGACCATATTTCCGATGAAGCTTGTGAAACTCGAACCGAAACGGTATCTAGACCCTGTGATCAGGTCTGGTTAAGTCCTGGTTCATTTTAGGTGGCTATCTGACGGGTTAGACTGTATCATGACTAGTAGAAGCGTTTACTTGAAACTGGACAGCATCCCAATGAGGATAGGGATTCTGGGTTTGTTTCATGATGGCCAAGCGTAAATTGTACCGCAATTGCACATGGCCCCTGCGAATAATCATCCTCATTTGAGACTGTCCTTGATAATTGATCAATAGTGTAGTGTACGCACAGCAGACTCGTCTCACAGACAGAATAATAATCAATAATAGAGCCAGACATGAGAAATCTCGGTTACCACTTTTTGAGCCGGACAGCCGGATTACCGAGTCAGACACCATTCCATTAACTAAGCGCTGATCAAGGGAAGAGACCAAGGGGCGGTGATGATCCCCTTGCATATCGAGTCAAGCATTGGAAATGTGTGACACTGCAGCTTCATCGCTGTCAGCTCACAAGGGTTGTGTACAGACTTGAGAATTCCTGATTCAAAATGGGTCGCAAGTATGTGGCATTACTGGCAATGCAATGAGAAGCATTTTTCGTAATAGTAGCATCTGGATATGTACTCCATACTCCGTATTTTGTGCAAGAAGGGCCTGCTCCGTGACCTAGTCTATCTATCCGAAAGGCCGATCGAAGAGGAACTTGGAGTACGTACCAGTAGTAGACGAGTAGACTGGGCCTACGGCTGATTAGATTAACATTAATAATGGAATAGCGCCAAACAGCCCAAACCACAACCATTGCCGCTGATTGATTGTGCTGTAATTTCTTTATGCATTATGGGCCTCTAGCCAAGACTTTCCGGCTGTTTCTTCCAGTTGCCCCTCAAGAAATTATTGATAACCAAGAAGGAAGGGATGAAATGATATGCCCTTGTCGGGCTTCCGACCACATCCGTCCCTGTACTCCCTTCGTTGGTCTTTTCTCCGCTATTTATCTTTGACGTCAACCCAGCTCGCTGTAGGCGCTGGCTCCCAATCTCTCTTTTCATACAGTCTTGGTCTCCCTTCCATAACAGATCCTCATGCGGTAACACACTGCAGTACAGCTTCCGTTGCGTAGCTTTGGTGAACTCAAACCCCGCGCCATGGCGGCCTCCGATCTTATACGCGCCCACGATAGTGGCTCCTCCGCCGGCCGATCCCCAGCGCATATGGCGACCACTACAGTCAAGGTGGATGGAATGACATGCGGGGCATGTACTTCCGCTGTTGAAGGCGCTTTCAAGGGTCTGGATGGTGTAGGACAGGTGTCAGTTAGCTTGATGATGGGCCGAGCCGTCGTTCATCATGATCCGACCATAATACCTGCGGAAACAATAGCCGAAAAAATCGAAGACTCCGGTTTTGATGCTGAGATCATCTCCACTGACGGCCCGTCGATACAAACCGATAGCCACAGAAATGCGCAGGATCCGACGCCGCGATTTTCGACCACGACGTTAGCGGTGGAAGGGATGACGTGTGGTGCCTGTACGTCTGCTGTGGAAGGAGGACTCAAGGTAGTCAGAGGCGTCAAATCGATCAACGTCTCATTGCGGTCAGAACGAGCAGTGGTGGAGCATGATGCTTCCGTGATCACGCCGCAACAGCTCGCGGACATTATCGAGGATCGTGGCTTCGGCGCGACGGTGCTGGAAACCTCAACGCCGCAGGACGGTCCTCGTGGCTCGCAGGAAGATGCGGACGCTAAATCGTGCCTCATGAACACAACCGTCTCGATAGATGGCATGACATGTGGCGCTTGTACATCCAGCGTGCAGAGTGCATTCGATGGTGTTGATGGTGTGGTTCAGTTCAACATCAGCTTACTTGCTGAACGCGCTACCATTGTCCATGACCCTACGGTTCTCTCGGCCCAACAAATCACCACAATTATCGAAGATGCGGGGTTTGACGCAGCTATCATTTCTTCAGAGCCCAAACTGTCTACGTCTAGCTCCACGAACAGCGTAACTCTGAGTTTACACGGCTTGCGCGATGTAGTCGCGGCAAATGATCTAGAAGACTCCCTTCTCCGGAGACCCGGAATACACTCGGCGTCCATCAATATGGGCACATACAAGCTTGCAGTTTCGTATGATTCTGCGAAAATTGGGATTCGTACCATTGTTGAGGCGATTGAGGCTGCCGGCTACAATGCTTTGCTGTCTGAGTCGGACGACACCAACGCCCAGTTGGAATCTCTGTCCAAAACCAAGGAGGTCCAAGAGTGGCGAAGCGCATTCTTGTTCTCTCTCTCATTCGCGGTGCCCGTCTTCGTCCTCAACATGTTGCTTCCCATGTCTCTACCCAAGCTCGACTTCGGCAAGCTCCGCTTATGCGCAGGCGTGTACCTCGGGGACGTGCTATGTTTGTTGCTCACCATCCCCGTACAGTTCGGTATTGGTAAGCGATTCTACGTGAGCAGCTACAAATCACTCAAGCATCGCTCACCGACTATGGATGTTCTTGTCATGTTGGGCACATCTGCGGCTTTCTTCTACAGTGTCTTCATCATGCTTGTGGCCATGTGCACAATGGCCGACAAACGGCCCAACACCGTGTTTGATACAAGCACCATGCTCATTACCTTCATTACACTCGGAAGATGGCTAGAGAATCGGGCTAAAGGTCAAACGTCAGCCGCTCTCTCGCGACTCATGTGCCTGGCTCCGTCTATGACGACAATTTACGATGATCCTATTGCTGCTGAGAAGCTCGCCGAGGAATGGGAAACCGCCAAAGTTTACACCGATGAGAAGAAGCCAGCATCTTCAAGCGCGGACAGATCTGGTCCAGGTCACAGAGTGATCCCAACTGAGCTCATTGAAATTGGCGACGTAGTTGTTCTTCACCCTGGTGACAAAGTTTCTGCAGACGGGGTCGTCATTCGAGGCGAAAGTTACGTGGATGAAAGCATGATCACCGGTGAAGCGCTACCCATTTATAAAAAGAAGGGCAGTACCGTCATTGCTGGAACTGTGAATGGCACTAGTTCGATTGACTTCAAGGTCACCCGAACCGGCAAGGACACTCAGCTCAGCCAGATTGTGAAATTGGTTCAGGACGCGCAGACAAGCCGGGCTCCTATCCAGCGGGTGGCGGATATTGTTGCTGGCTACTTCGTTCCGGCTATCATCAGTCTCGGTCTCATCACGTTCTTTGGTTGGATGTTCGTTAGCCACGTTTGGTCTCATCCTCCCAAGATCTTCGTCGCCGAAGGCAGTGGCGGAAAAGTCATGATTTGCCTGAAGCTTTGCATCTCTGTCATCGTCTTTGCTTGTCCATGTGCATTGGGTCTCAGCACCCCAACAGCCGTCATGGTTGGTACTGGCGTTGGTGCGCAGGAGGGCATTCTAGTCAAGGGTGGTGCTGTGCTTGAAGGCGCGACTAAAATCAACCACGTCGTCTTTGACAAGACTGGCACCCTGACTACGGGGAAGATGACCGTTGCCGAGGCCAGAATAGAACGCCAGTGGCATGAAGGGCGTTGTCGACTTTGGTGGTTGATCGTAGGTCTCGCGGAGATGAACAGTGAGCACCCTATCGGCAAGGCCATCCTCTCAGCAGCAAAGGCTGAATCGGGCCACTCCGAGGGCGATGGACTACCAGGCAGCTTGGGTGACTTCAATGCCCATGTTGGTCAGGGAATATCTGCATTGATTGAGCCCGCGTTCAATGGAGACCGGACAAGGTATCGTGCTGTAATTGGCAATGCCGCTTTCTTGCAGTCCCAAGGTGTATCGGTTCCTGAATCTGTTGAAGCTGAAGATCAGCCCACCGGCAGCCCGAAGCCTACCGCTGGCATCACGCAGATTCATGTGGCCATCGATCAGCAGTTTGCCGGAACTATCTTCCTCCGCGACACTGTGAAATCGACTGCCGTGGCTACGATCGCTGCTTTGCATCGCATGGGGCTCAAGACTTCGCTCATCACTGGAGATACCCGCTCTACTGCCTTGTCCATCGCTTCCGCTGTTGGTATATCTCCTGAATTCGTTCACGCCTCTGCCTCCCCGTCCGACAAACAATCCATAATCGCTTCGATGCAAGAATCCGGTGACCGCGTCGCCATGGTAGGCGATGGAATCAATGACTCCCCGGCTCTGGCAACCGCATCAATTGGGATTGCTCTGGCTTCGGGGACGGACGTCGCCATAGAAGCCGCCGACATCGTGCTCATGCGGCCAGATGATCTCCTTTCCGTCCCCGCCAGTCTATCGCTCTCTCGCGCAGTCTTCAGACGCATCAAGCTCAATCTCATGTGGGCCTGCGTCTACAACGTCATCGGCCTTCCATTCGCCATGGGTCTCTTCCTGCCCTTTGGCGGCTTCATGCTTCCCCCCATGGCCGCCGGCGCGGCAATGGCAGCATCAAGCGTCTCCGTCGTCGTCAGCAGCCTGCTCCTGAATTTCTGGAAACGTCCACGATGGATGGACGTCGAGAAGCTAGAGAAGGAAGCGCAGCTCGGCGGCGTTGGCTCTCGCGCGTCCCGGAAGAACCGGTGGCCGGCTGCTCTCTTTGTCTCCGGTCCTGGCAGTCGTACCGGCCCGTTGGGTTGGGCCAGGCGGACAGGCGCGAAAGTCTGGTCGACTGTCACCGGACGGAGTCCGAGAACAGTAGACACCAACGATGGCTATGTCCCTCTACAGACGGTAGAGCCAGTCGTTTAATTACCCCTGTTCCCCTTCTTGCATGTTTTTCGATGCTCTGTCTCATGTGCACTGTTCATAGCTACCTAGGATTCGGCTTATGAAGTACCTGCATGATGGATGTCTCTTCTTACGGCTACCATAATAATGAATGGCATAGACATATGTGGTTTTCGAGGGTCTTACAGATGTTCATTGATACGAGTATCTCTACAACTGCATCGCTAGTATAATGCAAAACCCAAGGATATGAAGCAGCAGTACTTGAACCAGGAATAGTCCTGCACTCGCACATAGTCAAGTCACTTCATATCATTCATCATTGAAGGCCAATAGTCAATATATGACCTGAAGACTGTCGCTCGTAGATTTCCTGATCATCATTATATGAAACAATGCGAGCCCAAGAAACACAACCAACGCAAAGAGCGTCTAATCATCCTTGTTCTCTGTCGCCCGGAGAGTTTCAGTGGCTTCTGCCTCTACCTCTGCCGCTGCTGTTGCTGTTGCGGCAGGAGCCGATTCCCCCGCCTCTTTCGCATCGTCAAGCTGGATATCCCCGTCGCTGTCTGCATTTGCCCTAGACGCCGGTTCCTTGTCCTCGGTCTGTCCCTCAGTAGTAGAACTAGGTTGTTCGGTTTCTGCCGACGACCCACCCGCAAGCGCATTTGCGTTCTGCGCCAAAGTCATCTCGACTCCCTTGCCGTCCTGCAGGCCCACATCCTCTACTCCTACGATCGGCGGGCCCCGAGCGTGGGGAATCTCCTCGGACGAGTCGGCTGGCGGGGGGCTAGTACCGCCCATAGTCTCGTTTTGTGCCGTCGTTTCTGAGGTCTGGGCTTGTGCTATCGGATCCTGAGCCTGCAGTTGGACCTGCTCTGGTTGTGATGTTTGCGCGACCAATGGTAATGAATTACCTGGGACGAGGCCTACGAAGAACGAGTGTTAACAGGAATGTATGGAGACAAGTAACTAAGAGCGTTACCTTCACTGAGAGTAGCTCCACCGTCGTTGCCCGGGGAGGATGCGCCGGTCAACCAAGGGATCGGAGTAAGCAATGCCCCACCTAGGGACTCATCACTTCCTGGGGCATGATCTGGGAACATGAAACCATGCCCTCCTCCGTTCAATACGCCATTGACCTGACCGGCGCTGGGTTCTGTTTGAAGTGGAAATATATCAGCGGTACTTGTAACGGAAACGACTCGGTCGACGGCGCGCAGGTACGCAGGGAGAGTTCGATAGTGTGCATTAGGTCGGAGAACTAGCTCTGCGAGTCTCTGTATGGTGTGCGGAGGTTTCGATGCAAAAAATGTCTTTAATGCCGACTTGATGGAATCCAGCAATAACATAAGCGGCGGGGGGAGGGTATCGGTCGAGGAATCAACGAACGACTGCGGTTTGGAGTCTGGCACACGCTCGCCCGATGGAGGCGGCGTGGCAGCTGATGCGGGTATTGTCGACTGTGAAGGATTCTCTGTCTCTGTTGGAGGAGTATTCTCTTTGTTGCTGCTCGGTGGCACTGCGTTGGGTTCTTGCGAGTAGGAAGATGGCTGTTGCTGTGCGGCTGGTGATTGGGTTTCGACGTGAAATTTGGGCATGGGAAACGCGTTGTATACATTCTACTTATCTGTTAGTCCTCACGAAGAGTGGATAAAAGGATGACTACAGCCTGCGCACATGTTCTAGTCGCTCGAGGAGAGGCCCGACCATACCGGGCCATTTGTTGCTGGACGAGGTATTAGCACTCGATCACGATATAGATAGATTGACAGATCGTTGCCCGTACTAGTCCATTGAGCCGCCATTGGCGACCGTCTCTAAGCTTTCTTCATCTATAATTGCAAAACGTCAGCGCAAGATAGTTCTAGTAGCTTATGGTGGCATTCCCAAGCTGTGTTGCCAGGGATAAAAAGGCCAACACAGAGCGCGCTCATGGACAGGTGATCATCTTTATGAGAGACGCTCTAAGCAGCTTACCCAGTGACATTTTGGCCCCACGCTTCCTTCTCGTCACTCTGTTGTTGAGGTAGTCCCCAGACGCAAGTTGCTTGCTCTAGGTTAATTAATGCAATGGAATGCTATACGCGTGGGGAGCGGCTCTCCCGGCAGTCGAAGCTTGTAATTGGCTGCAGTAATCGCTTATCGGAGTATCACGTGACGGTTATCGGCCAATTTTTCGATGGAGTCACGAATGTCCCCACGGCGGGCAGACGGAGGGGCCTTGTCTCACTCTCCCCAGACGTTGCAAGCACTGTGGTCTGGTGACTGACCCTTGGAGCAAATCAATTCTAGTTTCATTGCCTTCATTGCCAGTCAGGCCAAAATGTGGAACTCTCCAAAGGTTGGGGTCCTCGGTGGAGGTCAGTTGGGACGAATGCTCGTTGAGTCGGCGAACCGACTTAACATCCAGGTCAATGTTCTGGACGCCGATAACGCCCCTGCGAAACAAATCAGTGCCCACGACGGCCATGTGACTGGCTCATTCAAGGAGCATGAAGCTGTGCGGAAATTGGCGAAGACCTGCGATGTTGTGACAGCCGAGATTGAGCATGTCGATACCTACGCTCTTGAGGAGATCTCCTCGGAGGTCAAGGTTGAGCCCAGCTGGCAAGCGATCCGAACAATCCAGAACAAATTCAATCAGAAGGAACACCTGCGGAAGTATGGCATACCAATGGCGGAGCACCGGGAGCTGCTTGAGAACACACCGGCTGAACTCGCCAAGGTCGGCGAGCAACTTGGGTATCCCTTGATGCTTAAGTCGAAGACGATGGCCTACGATGGACGGGGTTAGTGAACAAGACGGAGTCAGAAAAGGCTATCTAGAATGTTGTTGTGGCTGACAATGGGCGCCAGGAAACTTCCGTGTCAATTCCAAGGACGATATCCCCGAAGCCCTTGAAGCGCTCAAGGACAGGCCATTGTACGCTGAGAAATGGGCCTACTTCAAGATGGTTGGTCTTTTATTCGCTTCATAAGTGACTTCGACCTAATAGCGACGCTCATAGGAATTGGCCGTAATGGTTGTGAAAACCAAGGACGCGGTCCTCTCATACCCCACAGTTGAGACAGTACAAGAAGACTCGATATGCAAGCTCGTCTACGCACCTGCCCGCAATGTCTCCGATGCCATCAACCAGAAAGCTCAGGAGCTAGCCCGCAAGGCTGTCGCAGCCTTTGAGGGCAAGGGTGCGTTCGGTGTGGAGATGTTCCTCCTCGAAGACGACAGCATCATGCTGTGCGAAATTGCCAGCCGCATCCACAACTCCGGCCACTACACGATTGAAGGATGTGCCCTGTCCCAGTTCGACGCGCACCTCCGCGCCATCCTCGACCTCCCCATTCCCCCACAGAGCCTCGAAATCCGCCAACCGTCCATCATGCTGAACATTATCGGCGGCGCCGCCCCAGACACCCACCTTAAAGCCGCCGAGGCCGCTCTCTCCATCCCCAATGCCAGCATCCACCTCTACAGCAAGGGCGCCGCCAAACCCGGCCGCAAAATGGGCCACGTCACCGTCACCGCGCCCACGATGCACGAAGCCGAGAAATACATCCAGCCCCTCATCGACGTTGTTGACGAGATCCGCTCCAAGCGCAGTGACATCAAGACGCAGCCCGCCAAGTCCGGCCCGTCGAAGCCCGCCCCCACCGTCGCCGTGATGATGGGCTCGGACAGCGACCTCAAGACCCTTGTCCCGGGCCTGAAGCTCCTCCGTGACTACTTCGGCATCGAGCCCGCCGTCGACATCACCTCCGCCCATCGCACCCCAACATTCATGGCCGAGTACTCGGCCAGCGCGGCCGCGCGCGGCATCAAGGTCATTATCGCCGCTGCGGGCGGCGCCGCCCATCTCCCTGGGATGGCTGCCGCTCACACCGTCCTGCCCGTCATCGGCGTACCGGTCAAGGGCAGCTCGCTAGACGGCGTGGACAGCTTGTATAGCATCGTCCAGATGCCTAGAGGTATGTTATCTTCTTTTCTTCTACCATCTCTCTCTTTCCCGTGGACAGCCCGCTAATCGTTTATCGCTACAGGTGTCCCCGTCGCGACGGTAGGAATCAACAACAGCATCAACGCTGCTCTCCTGGCGGCTCGTATCCTTGGCGCATTCGACCCGGCTATCCAGCGTAAGGTGGAGGCGTATGCCGAGCAGGCTAGACACGAGAACATGGAGCTGAAGGGGACCAAGATGCAGGAACTCGGATGGGAAAAGTACTTTGAACAGATGTAACAGAATTTAATAGCTAGATTGGATTATTGATGAGAATGGCTGAATGACTCTACCGACTTACGGAATATCGAAGACTTGACAGAAGAACGAGACAGAATTAGAGATTACGTACTCGAAACTAGTCATACAGATCATAGCGTGACAGCCACAAGACATCATACACAGATACTGCAAGCACAAAACTCATGGAAGCGAAAACATGATATCTCAAAGCCAGTACATGCGTCATCAGTCAGGAACAAAGGAAATATTGAAGGGAACGGCCAGACATATGTCCTCAATAGCTAATCTTTCCTTTAAGCGGTCTGTGGGTTGAAGGCCTCGGGGGTGCCTCGGACGGTAAGCCCCTCGGCGGTGACCTTCGTAGCGGCCCCATTTTGATGACCATTCGTGTGGCCATTGGTGGCGCCGTTGCTGAAGGCATTGTCCATTTCATCGGCGAATCCACGCGAGGGATGTCCAGTCTTTGGATACCCGTCAGCACCGACCTGACCACCCTGGGTCGCTCGACCATCGGCTCCCTCTGTTGGTCGGCCATCAGGCTTCTCTCTGAGTCGGCCCTCGGCCGTCCGGTGAGGCTTGCGTTGGATGGAAGCGAGCTTGGGGATGTCCTTGGACTCAGAGGCACTGCCGATAGAGAAGACTGGGGATTCCCAGCGCTCTCCCTTGCGCGCGAGATCAGTGTATTCAGTAGCCTTGTTGGAGACTGCTCCAGGGAGCTTGATGTCTGGGAACATCGAGTCGTGAAGAGTGGTGACGGTCTGGATCTTGGTATCGCGCTGAGCAATTGCTTGAGCCTTTTGCTTCTTCTCGGTCAGCTTCGCGCGCGCAGCGTCCATGTAGCGCGAGTAGATGTTGGGAGCATTTGCAGGATCCTGCTTGGTAGCTTCCTTTGCACGCTGAACCTCTTGGTTGACTTCAAAGGCAAATGCATCACCTTTGACGAAAGCGTCATGGATCTGCTTTTCGAGCACCTTCTCCAGGGTAGGCCGAACAATGTTAAAGAGCATAGGCTTGAAGATGGCAAAGAGAATCTTGTGCTTGGACTTCCTCAGCTTGATGTCGAGATCGTGAATCTTCACCGTCACCTTGTCCAGTTTGACAAAGTGCTGACGGTCCTCCTTATGAGCCGTGGAGGCCGCGATCTTGAACCCAAAGCCCTCGTTACCGAGGAAGATGTCCATGACACCCTTGTCTGTGATTGAAGGGAATCCCTGCTTCTTCTTGATATAGTAACTGACATCTAACGAGGAGTTAGTAAGACATAACCTCACAATATCGTCATGTTTCAATATTGAACCTACCTCTGAGATCGGCTTGAATACCGGATACCGAGATCATGATCTGAGCAAGGAATCAGTTTGAGCAGCGGACATAACTGGATAACGCGTGACGAACCTTGTTGTCTCTCTTGTTACTGATGTTCTTCCGACCCCAGCGGAAATAGTTATCACTACCAAATTCCACGACATTCGGCATCAGATTGTCACTCTCGATGACGAGATTCTCCACAACCTGTGAACATTGCAACGTTAGTCACCTGAAACCCTCAAGACAGTTCTTGAAGCAGACTCACCACGTCGGCCATCGGATCGGACACCTCGATGCGAGGCACAGGGACATAGCGAACGTTCTCAAAGACCGAAGGCAAGATGACATCTCTGATATCTTTAAGCAGGTGCTTCTTGAGAGCGACATTGCCACTAGCGTCTCGACCAAGGTCATTGAAGAGCTTCTCCAAAGCTGAGCGGAATGCTCGATTCTGAGGGTCTTGATTGAACTGATCGCCTATGAATCTAATCTCATCAAGGATCCGATCGGTATGATCCTTGTAGCGATCGCGCAACAGGTAACGACCGTGATCGTACAATCGGTCCCATTCACGGTCGCAGTCTTCCTGCATGATGTAGCCTTGTTCCTGCAAGGTTTTCCTGCTCGAGTCAGAATGATCCGTATAGTCTACCTTGGCGGTCGGACTTACCTGATGAAGGTGTCCATGTTCTTGAACCAGCCTCTGAGCTCCGGGTCCTTGTCTGCATCGCGGTAGATTTTGTCGAGGGAGTCGAAGAAATCATCCAAGGACGTGCTGTTTGCAAATCGTTCAATGAGAGTCTGGCAATAATATTAGCTTCACTGTCAGCGCTATTCTTCCGGTCACTCACCTTCAGATTGGTCTCCATCGATCTGATTCTTTCGTTGCCACGGAGTTCCTTTGTGGTTCCAGCACCTTGTTGGGAGATGTCTCTGGTGTGACGACCGTATTTTTCAGCGAGAGAAAGGAGCGTGCCAACAGCTTGCTGGTCTATTATAGGCCGCAAAGTTAGCGTCTATCCGAAGCTTCTAATCCCCGAATTGAACTTACAATCAGGATGGCCCTGGATTTCAATAACCATCTTCTTCAATCGCCAGATAACTTGCTCGCGTCTCTCCTTGGGCATTTTCTGCTCCATGTAGCTACGAGTCCGCTCCTTGAGCTCCTGGGCCCGACTCTTCGCTTCCTCGGAGACATCCTCTGGGACCTTCTCTTTGGCCTTCTGGGCTGCCGAACCGACACCAGCCTGGACATCGACATCCTTAGCAGTGGCAGGGTCCTGGCCACCCGTTGCAGATTGTGTCGCAGTGTTTGCTACATCACCAGCTTCTTCCTACGGGGGAAGTGAGCATGTGAGCAGATAAGCTCTCAGAAGAGGATCTTACCTTGCTTTTCTGAAAGCGAGACTTGAGCTGTTCCTTGGGTATATCAGGCTTCTCATGCCAGACATTCTCTTCAGCAGGTTGGTCCACTTGGGACAGCTGCTCCTGTGAAGGTCGAACCCTGTCGGCAGCGTGCTGCGAGACATCACCAGCCATGTCACGAGCAATGATCATAGCATCGTTCACTGTAAAGCGTCAGTACGATACTTAACTCGGCACTGACTTCCAAATGAGTCCACTTACAGAGCTTTCTGAACTCTCCGTTTGTGATCAGGAGGGTACCCAGGGTTTTTAATCCTTCGACGGCCCTGTCGGCGTCCTGCTGGGCTGATTCTTTGCTCACTGGAACATTTGGCTGTACCGGTGCTTCGCCAGTGCCAAGCTTTTGAGCTTCCCAGATAAAGTCTTGCAATAACTGGCCCTCATTCTTGCTAAGAATGAGCTTCTTAGCTTCGTCAATGACCACCCGGAGATCCTTAACCAGGGCCTGGCCCTCGCTGGACAGTTCTTTAGGAGGGGACGACAGGGCCTTGGAGGTAATGGCACTGTTCAAGGCGACATCACATTGCTTGTTCTACAGATACTTTCATCAGTATTATGCACGGCCCACGCGCCTTGACGCAGTTTGCGAGGATGATCCGTGGACTAACCGATGGAAGCTTGCCGTTTTTGAAAGCTGTATGGTTCGTTAGCCTGAAATAATCGCTGAAGGACAGGCGCTTCAATCTTACCTTGATATATCCCGAACAACTGCAACTTCTGGTTGATATCCTGGAGTAAAGCTACTGTCAGAGCACTTCTTTGAAAGTGTAGGGTTGGATTGGTATGCGCACCTTTTCCTTTTGCTTAGTGTCCATAGGACGATTGACAGTTCTCGACGGCATGATGAGGTCTGTTGGCACCGCTGATGGATGACTTGCGACCGACAATGACAATCAGACAATAGTGAGATAGAATTTTATGGCTGAGCACCAAAGACCTCGATGGTCACTTGAGAAAGGGATAGATAAGCTCTGCTAAGACTTTCTTTCGGAGAAGAAAAGAGACGAATAACAGACAGATAGAATCAAGTGCACAAGTAAAGAGACAGATAACGAAGATCGCGTCACAGGGGTATCACCGGAATGGAGGGCGCGAAGGGCGAGAGGAATGTGTGTTTAGTTGAGGTATGGAGATCAATGGTAGGGTAGACAGGACAACTAGTTATGAATCAAGAGTGACAAGGCCAAAAGTGTTTGGAAGTCGATGGATTGTGGTGACCTATTTAAATAGTTTTCTAGACAACTGATATCAGATCAAGGGGGGCAAGGAAGAGGAGAGAAAAGTTGATCGTGGGTGACATCGATTATGACTGTTATTGATAGGGGGCTGCAACCCTTCCTTGGATGCTTGACGTCACGGTGTCGTGAGTTATCTTTTTGCGCTGAGGATTATAGCTACTAGCATAGGGAGGAGTACCTGAGCTGTCCGGGCAGAGGTACCTTACTCTTGCTTTTGGTCGGGTTCCTGAGCATGATACGTAAGAGAAGCCTCTCTGAAAGCATTATTGTTCTTTTCTTGAAATTTGGTCCAGCATGTGCATATGAGTTCCGACGAATATGAGCTCATACATGGTCTTGGCTGAAGACAATCAGTCAATCAATGGGAAGAGGCAACTAAACTAAAGGAGGCAAGTCATCATCTGTACTAGGTTATGAACAAGGACCATCTATTATTGCCGACTCGATAAAGTTCAGAGCATGACGAAAAGCTTGAGCTCTACCTAGCTAGCCATCGAGTCTTGACGATTCATCTTATATTCACACAAGAAAATGTACATGGTAAAGCCAAAGTCAGCTTATCAATGCTAATTCCCCATCTATCGGCCCCCGGTTTACAACCCACGAGGCAGAAACAAAAAGGGAAGCCTCTGCGCTCTTGTTGGCTTGATCCCTTCGACGGAGTAGGGACTCGGCGTAGGGCGTACCCACTTTGTAGTTAGTCCCAGTAACCTTGAATCCAAAAGGCTTGGCACTGAGCATCGTTTTCATGGTCGCCTAGCCACAAAGCACAAATGATCTAGTCTAGAGTTTTGAGGTCTACAAAGAGAGTAAGTTCGCAGCGAACAATGTGAAATCATAGCTCCATAAGATGTGCTACGTGGTCTATTCGCCATCCCGAGCAGGTTTCGACGCGCTGGGAATCGTTCCGCGATGACTTGGTCAAGTCCAGACAAAGTTGTACTAGAGCTTTTTGTGGATCATCAGTCTGACGTCAAGAGTCGATCTGCCCACCACTTCAGCACTCCACAGTCCACAGTCTACAAACGCTGCGTACTACCTCTGGTACCTCTTTTTCAGCCCAATATTATGGCCAATTGCAGGAATTCCTTCCGTCGAGTTCCCTGGATGGAGAAAGTGGGGATGGGAAAAGCAGCTGTAATGTACCATGTAGAAGAGATCGCGATTTTTCATGCGCACCAAATTAGAAATTAGATAGCGGTTGAATATTCCACTTCGTCCCCTGTCATGCAATGCGGAAATATGGTTGAAGCAGACGAACTATCGTCTCAATGCCATCTCTTGATGCCTAATTATTTACAGACTCCCAAAATAGGCGCATATCTGCAGCCTAGAGTAGACGAATACAGGTTAACTCGTACTCAGCTGCTACCATGGCTGTCCTCGACATCCTTCTCTGAAGGACGACAAGGAGTACTTCAATGGGTAGGATCATTTATTTAGCGGACTAATATGCAGCTCTTTGATTCGTTCATAGACCATAATGGCCATGATGATAGCCAGGATATCCACTACCCGCAGATGGGGGCAAGGGTGGTCCGGTCACATAAGGCCCTGCACCTGGAACGTAAATCGCGGGTGACTGCATTAGCCGTTCTCGAGCAGACGCTGAAATTGTCTGGAATGTTTCAAGAAGCGTTGCGATTCCCCATTTTCTAAGGCAGAACTGGAGGAGATCCTGGGTATAATCCAGGCATACGCTCGCTCGTGCGTGACAGTTCAAGCGGTCCTTATTGTCGATCGCGGGTGGTTCTGGAATCTCAAAAGGGATGTTGGGAAGCGGTGGCACCGAGCGGTTCAGGACGAGTTCTGAATGCCGGTCCAAGAGGTCGAGGAACCAGCTACTGACCTGGTATGCTCGCTGAATGTCAAGATATGTCATCAATGGCACTAGGCTCGGCGTTTCCAAAATCTGGTGAAGTTTGCGGATGTAATCCATGCAACGCTCAAACAGGAGAACTTTCGAATAGTCAGATGTCCCGATATATCGATGCATGGGCGACAAAATGATGACAGTCGTGTAAAGGGACTCCAGTGTATATAAAATAGTGAAAGGCCCTGCAGTGTTCTGAGGAGCATTCTCGAGCCATTCCTGGGCTTTGTAGCACAGGGTCCAAGTGGAGGTCGCATTTGGGAGGGATGCCTCATTCTCGTATTCGTACTTATTATGATATGCAGTGGACAGTATTTGCCGAATTTTGACTATATGCCAAGCAGGTTGCGCACTGTGCAAAAAGACATCGCTTGCATCTGCAAGAGCAAAGCCAGGTGCTGTGGTAACTGAGGGTAAAGCGACATTGACAGACCCATCAGAGAAGGAAAGTGTTCTCTCCAACGCGGTGCTTACACCCCTGTGCTCAACCAAATCAGTAAAAATGAGCTCGTATCAGAATGATGTAGAGGCACAAACCTATCCAAGCAGTAGACGCAATGATAGACAATCCGACGAATATCTAAACGATCAGGAGTAGACAACTCTTCCAAAGGAGGGTCTTGATGCAAGCCAAGATCAACCATTGCTCGGACGGCCGTGCCTACAAGATACCAACTACGAAAATGGTTAGGGTCGAAAAAGGAATACTGGGCAAGCAACAGTATCCCCTGAATGCCAGTAACGGATCCTGGGCGAAGAACTTCTTCGGCGTATTTCAGCGCCCCAGAAATCAAAGATAGTGCCCTTTGATGATCTCCGTCGCCAGGCTGATACGACGTCGAAGCAGACGAGATGGCTAAGACAAGACGTAAAATCCAATGATCAAATGGCTTGGCGAAACGACCACCGGACTGATATACAGCATCTACAGACGTCCAAAAAGTTGTCTCGACGAAGAAAGGCAGCTGTGTGTATAGGTTGTCGAAATAATGGCGCAAAAGGGGTGTTATTTCATGGCGTGAGGGTAATGACTGCGATGATAATTTCGGCAGCGGCTCGGCAATTGCCATTGATAGTAGAAGATTGGCGAAAGACGTACTCGAAGTAATACCGTGGAAATCTCGTGAGGTGGCATTGACCGACCTAGAACGGCTGGTCAGCAACGAAACAACGAGGGCAATAGAAGATGAACAGACAAAAAGCCGAAATCCCCAACCAGGTCGTCAATATCGGAAACCTCTTTGCGATGTGATTGAGCGACACAATCCGGCGATGAAACCGAAGTGATAGAGCTTTCCCGGACAGTCCCTATTTCATCCGTTGATGAAGATTCCTTGCGATACCGCAGGCTTGCAATCTGTTTTTCAAGCCGCTCATTGTACCCCTCCAAGGACGCTACATAACTTCTCTCTTTTCCTCTGGCAAACTCGTCACTGGCACCAGAGCAGGTGCTCGCTTTCCCTACTCTTTCGCACGCGGAGCAGGCAGGAAGTTTCCCATCGCATTTTATTTTCGCGGTTCGGCATCTTGAGCAAGCGGCAACCGGCCGACTAACTTTAAGAAGCGGTTTGTCTAGAAATGAGTTTGCCGACATTCTAGCATAGTATTACCTGGGCAGCATGTCAGAGGATCGGAAAACAGATTGCAACAGAGTATGACGCGTCTGAAAACACCAGGCGCATACCGAATGGCGGACGGGCAATGGCTGAGAATCATGTGAAATGCGTGCAGCATGTCAGATATAAGAACGGTGGTTCTGAAATGTGGTCTGCCGAAGCAATCAGAAGTCTTGCGAGCGAGGAGCGCGACCGAACGAAGATCAAAATAGACGCTGATTCATCTACTATCTTAATGACTTTGGCAATAGGAAATTCAGAAGGGATGGCAGAAGTACCTCGGGATCGATCATTAGTTGCTTTGACAGACTGCTCTCAGCAGAACATTCGGACCCTGTGGATCTCTTTCGCTTTTTGAGACGATGTACCTTTGTAGTAATAGCGAGAGACCCAGCAGAGGAGTTTATCGTTGTCAATGTCAAAAAAAGTCGACTACCATATCCTGTGGAAATTTCAGTGATATTTACCGAAAAATCACGAGGTTATCAATGGAGGAAGTAAGTAGCGGATTTGCTCCGCGTCGCAAGTCACTAATTGGGGTACCTTGAGGAGATAAGAAAGGGATAGGTTTAGGCAAAGCAAAGCGGTAAATGAACCCCGTTACCTTGACGAAAGGGGTGCCTAATTGAAGGCGACTAAGTTCATGCCACCAACTGGGTCAGCCTGCAGTGGTGTGCATCCAACAAAGCAGCATGACCGTTATGCTGCGGGTAAGGCAGTAGTAGTGTGAGCAGCAGATACGTCGTTGTAGATAGTGGAAGTAGAAGAATTCATCATCTGCTGATCTTCTTCTTAGGCTGATTTGGCTCTTCCTCGTCCGTTGGGTTTCCTTTTTTTCCCCACCTCTTAAGGACACCCCACCTTCCGCACTCCGTACCCTCTCCACCATACCCAGCACCTTATCTCTTCGGCAATGGAGAACTCTGTCGCTTTGCCGACGATCGAATACAAGAGTAATTGTCCTAATTTTGCTTGCGCGAATACTACAGGCGCCTCGGAGGAGATGATACAGCACGATTCGGGGGCTTCGTCCTGAGCTTCAGATGCGTGCCACAGACCAACGAATATGCATATCCTCCCCCGGGCATCCCTTTTTCAGACAACGAGTCCTGTTC